ATTATAAAGTGGTGTGAAGAAAAAAGAGTTCTAAGATTGAAAGGTTGTGTGTAGAGCGTTTTATTAAAAATGTTATCATCTTACAAACAGTTTTTTTTTATAAAAGTCTATGAAGATAATTTTGGCAGTGCGGTAAAACTGTCACTTTACACTCGTCTGTGCGTAAAATGCTCAGGCGACTGTAAATACAGTCTTTCAATAGGTGTCAATTGTACGTTAATTTGACATTTACATGTCAGGAGGCCAAAAAAGTAATTACCACAGAACAGAGATAAAGGGAAACACGTCTGTCTTTATCTTCCTCAGTTGTCGCTTTTCACATGAACAGAGACTGTAAAAACTGATAAAATCTTCGCACAAAGTGTTAATAATTTTGAAGAAAAATAATCATTTACTGCACTTGACTTTTATAAATCTATAAATAAATTATTTTAAAAACAACACAATGTGAACATCAAATTAAAAAAAGAAACAGAGTACTTAGGTGTTTTATGCACGGCTGACAATTGAAAACGTCATAAGACTAATAACAAATAATTAATTTTTTTATTGATCCTAAGAATATTGTCATTTTCTAAAAATAATTATTTGCAATTTGACAAGAATAACTTTAATCCATTGATTCTTAGAAAAGAAAAATTGAAATCACTGTTTCAAAGTGTTTCAGAAATGTGAGCACTTAAAACTGTAACAGATAGTACTTATACATATTATCTCATTCATTTTACTAATAAATTGCTTACCAAAATCTACCAGCTGATTTTAAAACTATGTCTACGTTATCATTAAACGAAAAAGAATTACAGTCAAATTTAAAAAAAGTGGTCGTCAATGTCATTTACAAAATAAATAAATAATAAACAATATTTAACAACAAAATTGACTTGAAGACAAACCATCAAACTTTATAATACCAAGCAATTTGTTTTTGGAAAAGTAAGTAGGTACGCCCATTTTTGGAACATGGAAAAAATGTTAAAAATATCTATCTGAAGTTATGAGAGTTTAAATTTTGCACTTTGACTCTATTTATTTCTGTGGGAAAAATAATTTTCCAAGTTTTTTTGCTACAGACTATTAGAAGAGAAAAGAAGGAAGCTGTATCCTAAATAGTAACTCTGATTAATGTTATTTATTTACAATATGCCGATTACTAACCTTTTAAAGGTTGTGAAACACGTCATTATATCTCATGAGGAGTAATAACATTACTTCTCTTAGGCGGTAATATGCAGGAAAGCTAACGTTAAGATTACAAAAATACCAGAAATTTTTTTTTACAAATTGTCAAGTTACGCATAATAATTTAACTAAATTAGTAGTCAATTGCTAATCGAACGCAATTTGGATACCCTACTTTGGACCTTAACTTTGTTAGAATTTTATTTTATTCAAATTTTTGACTAAAAATAATGTAATTGTGAATAAAATAGCATACAAATTTCGGTGGTAATGGCATTACCCCTTGTGCTTTATCCGATCTCGAAACTGGCGCCTCTCGATCGTATACATAAACCCTCGGGATAATGCCATATTTACCATCTCGTTTGTAATGTACTATTATTTGTGGTTTTCAATGGCAAAATTTTTGTACCTTTACTAAATAATTATTTATAAAAAAACGTATACAAGATCATCAGTATTATTAAATAGTCATAAACAAATATCAAAAAATAAATGTCAAAATTTTTTAACAGATAAAATTTTTTAAACATTTTTTTTGTCTCTGGTATCTTATCTTACTTGAAATTTTTCTCTGGGGCGCGAGTTCTGGTACACCCTGTATATTATTTAAAAAAATTGGGACATAATTTTTAATCGTCTGAATATGTACATAACTTTATTGTTAAAACATAGCCCAATACTTTTATTCCTACTATTTTTTACTATTTTAAATTTTCTCCCAAAATTTATAAGTTCGGACGGAATGGTTTCATCTACGTGACAGTTTTAATGCCCTGCTATTAAAATACTTTAACCAAACCCAACTTTCTAACACTTAATAAATCCCTTAAGTGTAGATTTTGCGATAATACAAATTTCCATTTCATGAAATTTAGTCTTTTGTAAACAGTTATTCAAGAAACTACAAAAATGTTATTAGACAAAACAGTATCAAATTTAGCATCCAAATTGTTTTCAGGCCAAATTGTGTGGCGTAATGTTGTTCTTTTGCTTATTCTCCACGTTGTTTCTCTTCAAGCTTTTTACTTTGTTCTGACGATAACTAAATGGCGCACACTAATTTTTGGTAAGTACCTTATCTTCATTTAAAAAAATTACATAAAATATCTTAGGATTTACTTTTGGTGCACTAACTGGTCAAGGAATCACAGCAGGGGCCCATCGACTTTGGGCTCATCGTTGCTATAAAGCTAAACTTCCATTAAGAATATTTTTGTGTTTTTTGCAAACTGTGACTTTGCAAAATCCTCTTTATGAATGGGTGAGGGATCATCGAGTTCATCATAAATATACGGATACCAACGCAGATCCACATAATGCAACTCGAGGATTTTTCTTTTCACATATGGGATGGCTGTTGGTACGTAAACACCCAGATGTTATCACTCAAGGGAAAAAATTGGATTTGAGTGATCTCGAAAACGACTCCGTGGTTATGTTTCAAAAAAAGTAAGTGATTTCTTTCTCTCAACTAGAACAAAATTTTACAGTATTTCTTTGAGTCAGGTACTACAAAATTATAGCCCCCGTCTTGAGTCTTATCGTACCAGCTCTAATCCCGTGGTATTTTTTTGAGGAAGATTTATACATATCATGGGTTACAACCTGTGTGCTTCGATACGTTATAACTCTGCATTCCACTTGGGCTGTCAACAGTGTAGCCCATATTTGGGGCAACAAACCATACGATAAGTATGTTTCTATTATAAAATTAGCATTGTTTTTGTTACCTTCATTTTAAGAAACATTAAACCTACAGAGAATATCGCGGTGTCAATTGTTGCGTATGGGGAAGGTTGGCATAATTACCATCATGTTTTTCCATGGGATTATAAAGCAGCTGAATTGGGTAATTACAGAACAAATCTTAGTACTGCATTTATTGACCTCATGGCCAAAATTGGATGGGCTTATGATTTAAAAAGTGTTTCCCCTGAAATGTTAAGACAACGGAAAATGCGGACGGGAGATTGGGATTATTAAACATGCCAAATTTGGGCCTGTTAAGGTTGAAAATGAATCTGTGATTGGGATAAAAAATTATGCTCGTTATTAGATTAATAAAATAAAATTATATTAAATGTAAAATGTACATACATACCTACCTAAAATAATATTTAATAAATAAACTATTAAAGTAACTATTTCTTATTACATTTTATTAAAAACTTGACACTCTAAAAATCACTAGAAATTTCCACAAGAATAATAAAATGGAATAATTTTAAATAAATTACAACTAATGACAGATAAGCTATACCTTCTCTACAAAAAGTACTGAAAAATTTTAAATAAAATAGTACTACGTTATTATTAATCAATTCCCTATTTAATTCCCTATACAGGGTGATTCTTTTAAGTCCTACATTAGAAACTTATTGATTTCTAATGCAGATAGGAATTTAAAATTTTGTTTACAACTCAAATCGACCAGTCTGAGTTTCACTAAATTATTTTTAAAATGGCTAAACTTCCGGAACTATGAGAAATTGGCGCCAACTTTGAAATTTTAAATGGTAATTTTTATTGCATTTTTAAATTCTACTCTTCAAACTGACCAAAACGTACTTTAGCTGTTAGTACTTATCTGCCATAGTTTTTAACATATGTCAATTTTTTGGTCAAAATTTTCATTTGTAAGACTTCATTCAAAACATCACAGCTCTTGAACCCTTTGCGATAAGTGAATAATTTTTTTTGCCTTCAATAAGTGAAGTGATTCTCAATAACTTTTTCAGTTCTAAGTTAAGTGATATAAAAGATACATTTTCTGAAAGCTTTCAATCGTTAAATAATTACGAAACAAGTTTTGTATTATCGATTTTCTCATAAATTATAATAGGTCTATACCATCACTTAAACGTCCATGTGTGTTAATGACAATTAAATAGAATAAGGATCTTCCACTATTTATGCTTACAGTAATTAACCTCGAGTACGGGGTCATGCCCATGCGATATAGAACAAAACAATCGATTCGATCTTACACAACTTCGTATTAAAATTCTGGAATGGTGCATAATCGGCGTCTCCTCCCTGCATACTAAGAAGTACGTGTACAGCACACAATATTTCTTATACAAATGATTAAGAAATATTTTGATTAAATCAACCAACCCATAAAATTTACAATAAATACCGCTAAGATTATTTAAATTTATTGCAAAACATATGGGTCATAGAAAATCTCAAATCGAAGGTTAATTTTCACGAACAAAGCCCATTTGATTAAAATTGTGCAATATGGATATGGTAGGGGGCATGACCAAAATAGACAAGCAAACGTTGTTGTTTTTTCAGATGGCATTATGTTGCTGCTTCGAAGTGTTTCTGTTTTAGTGGTGAGTTTTGTTTTTCTTCAAATTTATACACAATTTAATTTTTTTATATAATTTCAGTTAATTGTGCCAACATTAGCAAAACCTTTCTTGTATAATGCTCCACAAACCTTGACAAGTTTCATCTCTTCAGCATCTGCAGCTTCATCAGGACCGCAAGGAAATATCGCAGATTTGCGACGGCAACCTGCAAAGCTTCAAGATGAAATAGATGATGACTTTTTTAAAGATGAAGAAGACAATCTTCAACAACCAGAAGTGGAAGAAATGCAAAATGATGCTCCACCTAGTTTATTCAGACAAAAAATAAATAAGATTATTCAAAAATATAGATTTTTTTCAAGTTTGACGAATTCAGCTACTCCATCAAATGATGATGATTTTCAACGAGAATTCGATGATTTTGATAAAGAGTACGAAGAGGATGTGAATAAAAATAATTTGACGGAAAATTTAGGGTACTTTTATAATAAACCAGTGAAAAATGCTAAACAAGAAGCAAGTACTAGTCGTTTCAGTCCCGCCAATATTGGTGTGTTTTTCATGGAACTTATTGGTAGTTTAGTGGGGTTAGTTTATGGTGCTGCTGCTCAATTAAATTATCCTGGAACAACAGTCGCTCCAGCTTAGTGTATAATTATTTTTGTGAATAAAGGTGCTGTTATTAAAAAAATGTTTTTTTTTTACGGGTAAGTCCCAATATTGTCTCTGCATTCTTGGAAGTGAACAACATCTAAAGAATTTTGTCGCCTGTTTAAACAATTAAATAAAAAAATATGTAAATATCCTGAAGAAAAAAACGGCACATACTAAAAAGTTCATTAACACATCAAGGTTAACGTAATTCCATCAGTCTGTAAATCAAAACAGTTTAGAGCTGAAATTCCAATCCAACCAACTCGTCTGAATAAAAATACAACTTCGAAAAACTCGTCTTGATTGTAATTTAGAATCCCTATACAGTATGCTCCCAAAATTCAATGTTCCTATAATTAAAAGCCTATTGGGTTACTGTGTCACATTTCCAATAAGTTTCTTGTCCTTCACATCTCTGTGAAGAGAAAAACTCAAGTACCGGTTACAAACATTCAACACGGACAAGTGCCAGCCGAAGAACAGTTATTTCCAGTTGCCCTGTATAAAACACAATTAGACTGCCTTCGTCGATGAATGTTAAACAAGACAGTATGCTTCTGAGTGTCTGCACACTAAAATGTACCACATTTTGTTGATGTTGTTTTGCGCTCAGGCACGTAAGTACCACTCGAAGTACCCCAAAATTTACCCAAAACCCTCCAGACATGTGTGGGAGGACCTCCTAAGGTCGAAAATAAACCAACTTTATTGGACTCGTTTATCCCTGCGAGTATGCAGATCATTGCACATGTTACCGAACTTATGAAGTTTGATCTCAAACCTACGACTGGTACCACTACTACCACTACAACGACAATGCGACCAACTCGGCCTCACAAGCCCGGAATTTATGCTCCGGAAGCGCCACCAGGACCGGAAACCTATTTTGCCAAAGGGTTCACATATGAGGAGTATGTAGATAGACTCAAGTACCCGAGTGGGTACAACTATTTTGACAGGTGAGGCTTTGTCAAAGTGATGTACATATCTCATAATATCTGTGTCGATTTTTGTGTTTCTACTCATAATAAAGATTTATGTACAATTGGTTTCATAAAACACGGGACAAGCTAATTCACATCATGTAATAAATTGACCGACTAATAACTGTAATAATTGACAAAAGTTGCCATAATATTTTTAACCTCTTAATTTAATTTTCCAAAAAATTTTTAAAAACAGTGGTAAAGTGAGGTTTATTCTACTGTCATTGTCACATTTCTTATGAAATCAATTGTACAACATACATTTGGAGGGTTCAAAAGCCAATCAGAGTAAGTCAACTAATTTTTAAAAATGAATAATTAAGCATTTTAAAAATTTGTTGTATAAAAACACAAAGCTTGCAAAGGTGAAAAAAATTCCAAGAGAATTGATAACACATGGCGACGAAAAAAAGTCATGTCGTGACAACTTGAAAAATTATATATCACTTCGTTCGTCTCAGTGAGGCAAATCGAATGCACAAATTTTTTTTTCAAAAAGTCCACACACTCTGGACTAAATATTTTTTTTCTAATTTAAATGAATTTTGAAATTCTTTAACTTTAAAAATTCATTACTCAATAATTATTAGGCCGATTTGCTGCAAATAAAAACCATTATTTAGAATGATATGATATTTGAAATTTAATATTGGCGAACTTCGAAGTAAATCGAAGTACCTAATCTAAAAAAAAAAACTACGAGTAATTTTTTTTCATCATTGCCATCGTGTAGAGCATCCCTTTATTAGTTGGAATCCAAATTTTTAAAAGAATATACCGATTAGTTTTCAAGATATGATTTTTTGAAGTTAAAGTTTGCTAATCAAACATTGCGCCATACAGAAGAAATGCATGTTAATCTTACATAAAATTGCATTTTTATAAAAGTATTTGTTTAAAGACTCTTCTTTTGCTTAAAAATGAACAGTTGCACCTTCTTTGTTGTAATTAGAATAAACAAAAACTATTTGATTACTTAAAACAAACAATGAGTACCGGCCTAATAATTAAAGCGAATAAAGGGTTTCTTTCTTCTAAAAATGACCACTGATCACTGAGCAAAGTTAAAGTATTATAAATTCATTTAAACTAGAAAAAAAATTATTTAGTCCAAAGTCTGTAAACTTTTTTAATTTGATGTAAAATTTGTCAAGTTGTCACAACATGACTTTTTTTTGTCGCCCTGTGTTCTTCTTTGTCCGCGACCATTACATTACATTAGGGAATGTAATAAAATTCCGAAATCATTTTTAATAATAGAAAGTAAAAATTCTCAATCTTGAGATAGAATATTTATTCTGAAACACTTGCTTCTTATGTGTTTTGCATGTATTTTCAGTCTATAACAAGTGAAATTAAAAACTAAATTAATAGTTATTTATTATACAAGACGATAAAGAAATTGTTTATCTACGAGTGAAAAGGTTAAACGAAGTTTAACGAAGTTCAACGAAATCACGATAAACAATCTTTATCTGCAAACGTCACAAAAGTGACCACTTTTATGACTAAATGACACAGGTAAAAGTTTTACTTTTCAGACATGGAGTAAAAACACTGTTTTTAKGCCTAGGCGTTTTCACTTTTACTTGACACTTACTTTGACATTTACCACTGTTGTCTCTTTCTTGTCCCTTTCGCTTTTTCAGAATTTTCTGGAGGGGTACAAGGTATATTATCAGCATTCGACATTTTGCACTATAAACTACACCAGTTATTCACCAGTTAAATCAATCCACACTTGTGAAATCTCAACACAAATTCCGAAACTGACGCGTGACGTTTGTTYTGATTTTATTYCAAAGCGRCCTGATTATTGAGGTGATTTACTTGATTATTGGTGTGTTGCTCTTTTCGTTCCATCTGAATCGTTTGCAGATAAAATAGTATATGTTATTTGGAGTAAAAGTGAGTTTATGTGGCTCAGCTGAATCCATTTGCCTCACTCCGTTCGGCAAAATGAACGTTCAGCTTCGCCACATAAACAATCCCTTTTACTCCTAATAACATAATGTACTATTATCGTTGTGTATAATATTTCGTTTTATTTTGTACTCACCTACCAGAATTTCTTGTGTCTGGCTGATGAATACACTGGTCAGAGTGGAGTAGAAAAAAACTACTTTATTTCACTAGACGATAAAAGACTACTTTATCTACTGAAATTAGTTGATAAAAACACTCTTTCACATAAGTACAAAATAAAAATAAAAATTAAATTTTAATTAAATTAAAAACGATGTAGATACATGTAAGAACATACGTAGGATGAAGTGTCTCATTAAAAAACACAAGTTATTGTAACTTATTCTTGAAACATCTTGTATGTGTTTGTTTTTTGATATTGTTATACAGGGTGGTTGTCACAGGCAAACTTTTACAGAGTGATATACTGTGCTACAGAACAAAATGTCTTAATAAACTTAACTCCCACCCTGACCAAGAAAGAAAAACTTACTTACCTGACTGGAAGTGTGTATATTTTATATTTAAAGTAACATCTTTTTTGAAGTATTTTTTTACAAATTTTACAAACGCTTGAAAAATATTTTGTTTCAACTTAAACATTAGTACGCAATGTAGAAATTGGGCCTTAAATACGTATAATTACGGGAACGCATATTTTACAGTGAATTTAACAATAAATTGTATTTTTGCCTTGATGTTTCTTTCGTTAGGAAAAAAATTATTAAAATTTCTTTGTTCTACAGAGCGTTCCGTTTTTATTGTGACAAATTTGTACAGGTACAGAATATTCAATTTTATGCCAAAAGTTTACCATGAATACGTATTGAAAAATACTACGTATGGCAGTTATTCGTACATCCCTTGAAAGAGGTTTTTAGTAAGTTTTTCCTAATATATTTCAAAAACCATTATAGATAAAATTACAACATTTAGTACAGTTGATAACCTTTATACACCTAAACGAATTCAAAGATCAAATGTTAAAATGTTTAATCAAGGGCGTCCTACACTGAGGAGGTATAGTGCAAAAAGAATTTAATTTTAAATTTTATTGCTGCTTATGGTCTGTAACATAATATGCAAATTTTAAATTGATTTTACTTAAAAACGGTAAGTTGTATCGAAACAACTCAAGAGACCTCCTTTAGTGAGAAGCTAAGGAATTTAGGATTTTGATACAAAGTGGCATTTCTAATTTTTGGAGTGCGAACTTAAGTTACTTCATTAAAGTGTTATAGTTTTATTCTAAATTAATAATTATTTATTAGTCAACACTAATACGATGTATTAACATTAATGCAGATACAAGTTTCCCGTGGAAGAAGAAGGCAGAAGTCTTGGTGACGATGTACCTCAAGAAATCGATCTAGTTTTAGGTAAAAGATTAGGTGATTTATTACGACTGGTCAATAGTATTGAAGAAGTAACCGACATCGAAGACCAAGATCGGCAAGTACAAGATTTTTCGAATTTGTACGACGATTCGGATTTCAGAGTATTGCTTTTGCGACAAAAGAAAAAGCCTCCAACTAGAGCTTACGTCGCGCTTTTATCGCTTTATGACCTCTTGAACAAAGAGTCGAAAAAACTAGGTCTAAATAAATACAGCGTAAGTATATAAATTCCAATATTCAATAAGGTAAAGTTATACAGAATGTTCGGAAATTGGGTGCACAAACTTCTAGGGGTAATTCCATATTTCAAAATATAAAGAAAAGTTCCTATGAACATGGGTCCAAAAAAGACTTTAGAAAGTTACGGCCCTGTAAAGGTGGGCCTTCAAATGTGTTTTTTAAAATTATTTTTGTTGATATTTTAATTAGAAAAACAAAACAACACATGTTTTTTAAAACATTCACGATATCATATTGTTTCAATTACCTCAGTGCGTCGACATAAAGAATGGCCTGTATTTCGAAAACGGTGCCTTCTACATTTTACCAAGAAGACATTTTTTATGAAAGAATGTTTTTTCTATCTTACTATGGTATTAAATTTGCAAAAAGTTTTAAGAGAAAAAAATATTGAGCGATTTTAGCCGCAGCCTCCCTTATTTTGTGCGCCCTTAACCAAGATTCAAAAATTTTATTTATGCCAATCTCAAAAAACCTACGGGTGCGTGGTTTTATTTTTCTAATTAAAATATTAACAAAAATAATTTAAAAGAAAGTACATTTGAAGGCCCTCCTTTACAGGGTCATAACTTTCTAAGGAAGTTTTTTTGGACTCATGTTGATAGGAACTTTCCGTCATATTTTAAGGTATGGAATTACCCCTAGACGTTCGTACACGCAATTTCTGGACACTCTGTATGTATAGCCATTAAGACAACAAAAGTTTTAAACTATGAAACTTATATTGTCTTCAATTTTTTTTCCAATACTAATATTGAATCAGAAATTTTACTAAGTTAAAAAATTGTTGTAAAGAAATTTGTCAAAATAATGTAGAAATTGACAAAATGCCAAGATAAGAATATTTTATGTACTTATAAAATACGTTGCGATTGACGGACGTACCTTATGGAAAAACGTTTTAACGGCAACATAAAAGACCTTAAATGCACCATAGAAAGAGTATAAGATATTAGTGTTGGAAAAAACTATTAAACGTCTAATTTGTTTTGTATTAAAAAACTATTAAAAACTGATAATTGATAATAATTATAAAAAATTGCAATTTGATTGTAAATAATACAGAATGTTAAAAAAAAAGATTGTAAAACATTTAAGGAGGTAATAATATGGACCCAAATAAACAAAAAAGTCTTAATAAATAGGGGTTTGTAAAGTAACGGTTCGGAGATATCGAATGTGAAAAATTATAGGATTCTTACTAGAAGCTTCTCTTTTTTTTGTTTGAACAGTCTGCAAATAAACGTTTTAAAAAAACAAATAATTTTTGATATTTCCGAACCGTTACTTTGCGGCCCCATGTTTATTAAAACTTTTAAGTTTGTTTTGTCCATACTATTAGCTCTTGAAATATTTTACATTTTTTTTAACAACCTACTTAATAGTGGTTATGTGGTTTGAAAAAACTTGCGTGGTTAGAGACCATAAACGTGACTTGCATTATACGATATAAATTGATAACAATTTTGAATGCAAGATATTATGTAGTTAACAAAATTACAAAGTTTTACACTTGATTTATTTTTTTTATTTATATCGATTGCTGAAACACACTGAACTTCCATTCTGTATAGATGCTTGCCTAAAGTAAATTATTTTGCAGGGTTATTCTCAGAAAATCTTAGCTGAGCTTGCGGAAATTTCGACAGGGACATCTTCAGATCAACTGCACGCCGTCCTATCAAAAGTGGTTCAAAGAAGAGACACAGCTAACCCTCAAATTATCAAACGAATCAATGATCTCATCAAAGACTTAGAAGAAAGTAGCAGTTACATAAATGTTGCGTTGCGATATATCCCTCCCTTACCCTTTGTTTTATAAAGATTTTTTTTAACAATAAGTGTTCAAACATTGGCTACAATTGTAAAAAAAATGTACATTGAATGATGTAAAATTATTGTAAAAAAATAAATTATCTTGCCGAAGTCTGGTAGCTGTTTTGATTGCCTGATAGATATAATTTTGTAACTATAATACATACAGGGTGCGTCAAAACCAGGAATATGGAAAAAATGTTAAAAAATTCCATCTATAAAAAATTCGAAGTTATGAGAAACTAAAGTTTGCACCTTGACTTTATTTATTTCTGTTGGAAAAATAATTTTCCAAGTTTTTTTGCCACAGACTATTATAGAAGAGGATACAAGGAAGCTGTATCCTAAATTGTAACTGTGTTTAATGTTATTTGTGGCTTTTATTGGCAAAATGTTTGTACCTTTACTTTATAATTATAAGAAAACATATACCAGATCATCAGTATCATTAAATAGACATTAAAAAATGTCAAATGTCAAAAAATAAATGTCAAATTTTTTTGACAGATATTTTTTTTAAAACATTTGTTCCATATTCCTGGTATCTTTAGGTATCTTCCTGTATAATTAGCAACATGCGTAAACCCGTCCGTTAAATTTAAACGGCCTATTAGGCTGTTACGATGCCATAACAAGCATGGAGACATTACGGATATAATCAAGTAACCATTATTAATTATTCTTTTAACAAATCAAGCAAAAACGATTGGAACAAAATAATGAGAATTAGGTTTTTCGTTGTTTTTTTTACTGGTATATTTTTCATCATTGCATTTTATTTTCAAACTTGTAACACAAGATTTAGCTATTAGCATTTAGTAACTGATATTATCCACTGGGTATTTACCTAAAGATAAAAATAAACAAAATACATTATGATGGTTATTACGTGATTCTCAATTGAATTTTGACTTTCTCCCCATATTTTCAGGAATTATTACCTAACTCTACCATTATTCACTAATAAGCATTAATCTATTCCAAAATTTTATAGGGGTACTAAACTCACTATAAAAGCACTTTTCGCGAATCCTAGCCCAGTCTAGTCAAACATGAAATTCGTGATAGGTATTATTCTAATAATCATATCAGTAAGTATACTTTTTAGTTATTTTATTAAATTGTTGGATATTTTTGACTAGGTTTATGGTCAGGACAACTTGTCCGAAAATGCCACTTTTCTACCCCAAAAACAAGATTTGGAACCAAACGCCGTTTTGTCACCGAAACTAATTTCAACGTCTTGGCTAAAACCACTCACTGACACTGTTGCCAATTTCGTTGCCCTGGCAAAACACCCGAATTATGGTGGAGTTCAGTTTTTTAATCCTCAAAATTTATGGGAGATGTTGCACGAGAAAGGTGTTAGTTATTTGACAGGACCTCACGGCGCCGTCTTTGGGACCGCCCAAAATGGACCTCTTGATTATCCTTTCGCTTATAGAAAAAAGACGAACTGATTTTTATCGAGTGACATTCCTCTTGCACGTTATTTATGGTAATGACTGGACGTATAAAAAGATCTATATTATTATGTTACCGGTGCATATTATTTAACCAGGTCAATCAGACCATTGAATTTATAATTTTAACTTTTACTTTATTAGAGACGTATTTACGACTTTTATTTTTGTAAATAAAATAGTTATTACTTTTTGTACAAATGTGTATTATCTTGAAAAAAAACTGTTTTTTGTATAAGAGGTATGCAGTATTTATTTAAATAATAATCTCTACTAATTAGGGAAATAACGTCAATAACAAGGCGACAAAACACAACATTCAAAAATAAACCAGCGACCTTTGTGATAATATGCTCCTATAAACTTATATGTGCGTAAATATTATTAACTTTGAATTAAATGATATCTACTGGAGGCTTTAATTAATAAAAGTAAACACAATGGCGAAATATTTTTGAGTTTTTGAACTATCTACACGCAACATAAAGTAAATTTGTATTTTATAGAACAAAAAATTGTTATTCTACATAACTTTTTTCACTGCTAGTCTCAGAAGACATCATATTATATTGGTTTTTAGGTCAAAATAAGGGAAATACTTCCTATAGACCTATGTTCGGAAATGCTTGAGGGAGCCGAAACCTTTTTCTTCAATTATCTCAGTAACTACACCATTTTCGAGTGTAATTCAGAAAGCGTAAGATATATTTCAGAAAACGTTAATTGTAATTCAGATTAGTGAATTGTATTTCAGAAAGTGTTAATTATAATTCAGAGTTTGTCATTTGTAATTCAGAATTCGTTATTTTCATTTAAAAATTACACTATCAAAATCCCTTTAAAAATAAAATATCTTATTTATTTTGTAAAATACCAAGTTTATGTAAATCTTGTAGTTTTGAAAATAAAATAATTCGTGTTTATGTGTAAACTTCATTTTGAGATAACAGTAAGTTACTCATCTGAATTGCAATTGATATTTTCTGGATTACATGTAATATGAAATTGAATTTACTGTTCTGAATTACATGTAATGGTTTCTAAATTACAATTAATACTTTCTGAAATTCAACTGATTAATCTGAATTCCAATTGATGCTTTCTGAAATTAAATTAACTAATCTCAATTACATCTTATGGTTTCTGAAACTTATTTTACTCTTCTGAATTACAATTAACACTTTCTGAAAGACAATTGACTAATCTAAACTACAATTTACGCTTTCTGAAACTAAATTAACTAATTTGAATGACATGTGATGATTTCTGAATTACACTTGAAAAAGGTGTAGTGGACATAAAACAAAAGTTTGCATCTACACCTTTTTTAAGTGTTGTTCAGAAAGCTTAAGATATATTTAAGAAAACATTAATTGTAATTCATAGTAGTCAATTGTATTTCAGAAAATGTTAATTGTAATTCAAAACAGTAAAATGAATTTCAGAAATTATCAAATGTAATTCAGATTAATTAATTTAATTTTCGAAAGCATAAATTGGAATTCAGATTAGTCAATTGTATTTCAGAAAGTGTTAATTATAATTAAGATGTAATTTGTAACTGAGAGTTCGTCAATTGTAATTCAGAATTCGTTATTTTCAATTTACGTCATTTGTAACTGAGAGTTCGTCAATTGTAATTCAGAATTCGTTATTTTCAATTAAAAATTACATTATCAAAATTTCTTTGAAAATAAAATATCTTATTTATTTTGTAAAATACCAAGTTTATGTAATTCTTTAATTTTGAAAATAAAATAATTCGTGTTTATGTGTAAACTTCATTTTAAGATAACAGCAAGTTACTCATCTGAATTACATTTCATATTTTCTGGATTACATATAACATGAAATTGAATTTATTTACTGTTCTGAATTACATGAAATGGTTTCTAAATTACAATTATTACTTTATGAAATACAAATGACTAATCTGAATTCCAAATTATGCTTTCTGAAATTAAATTAACTAATCTGAATTATATCTCATAGTTTCTGAAACTCATTTTACTCTTCTGAATTACAATTAACATTTTCTGAAAGACAATTGATTAATCTAAATTTCAATTTACGCTTTCTGAAACTAAATTGACTAATCTGAATTACAACATGTAATGGTTTCTGAATTACACTTGAAAGAGGTGTAGTAGAGTAATTTGTTGGCACTGAATTTATTGTTGGCGTCAAAATTATGTAATATTATATGATCTCGCAAGTACCTGTTCCAAATTTTATAATATTTGTTCAAATGGTTCCGAAATTATTACAATAAAATCTGGTGTGAACATCACACGACTTTCCTTATCCTACTTATTTGGAAAAAAATCTTAACATGTAACGAAAATAATTTAGTGTAACTTTTGCGTAAGGGTCACCTGCCGAATTACAGGCGAAATAGATCATAATTGTCGCGGGTTCGAGTCTGGGGTGCAGTTTTTTTTAGTTCGGTACCCGTTATTATTATTATTTTATCACATTTTATTGTTTAATAAGGTAGGTAAATGCTTTCTCATCACTTTCGAGTGATGTTAAATGCAATAAGTCACCTGATTTATTTTGTTGGTCATTCTACGATTAGCTTCAGTTAGCTTGTAGGTAGTAGTTGTTGTGATAACAGTTGCACACGAAGCAACTGACTATTGCATTCAACATCAGTAGAAAGTGATAATAAAGCATTTGCTGAGAACATTTTCAAAAAAAAGTTCAGAAAGCTAGAACAAAGTGAACAAGTTGGAATCTGAATGGAAAGTGATTGAATTTGAAAAAAATTGTTCTTATATTTAAAGCTAGTGCTTTAAACTTGTAGATCCTTTTTGCTCAATGATCAGTGATCATTTTTAGAACAAAAAATTCTTTATTTGCTTCAATTAGTACGCAGGTACTTGTTTGTTTTAAGTAAAGAAACAGTTTTTGTTTATTCTAATTAGAAGAATGCTCTACACGATGGTGACAAAGAAAAAAAAATTACTCGTAGGGTTTTTCTTAGATTTACTTCGAACTTCTTCGAACACTGTTCGAAGAAAAGTTTGCCAATATTCAATTTCAAATTGCATATCGTACTAAAGGGCAAGTCCTTCTCTTTAGAATGGTCTTTATTTGAAGGAAATCGGCCTAATAGTTATTGAGTAATGATTTTTTAAAGTTAAAGTATTTTAAATTCATTTAAATTAGAAAAATTATTTTGTTCAAAATGTGTGGACTTTTTAAATTTTTTTAGTGCATTTGATTTGTCTCACTGAGACGAACAAAATGATATATAATTTGTCAAGTTGTCACAAGAAGTTCGAAGTAAATCGAAGTAATCTAAGAAAAACCCTACGAGTAATTTTTTTTTCTTTGTCGCCATCGTACTTACTAGTTTTTATTTAAATTAACATCATTTTATAGGTCATTTTTGAGGTTCAAATATTGCTTCATATTTGTGAATAACCCTGGATAAGTCTCATTCTACCGTCAGCCTTCGGTAGATTATCGTTCCCCCGAGTGTGACCATCCCAAAAATTAAGGTTGTGGCGCCTTTTTTCATCTGTAGAACCTGTCCCTCACGACTTGGCAGCCCGGAGCTGGGACCACACTGGGAACGACGGCAGAAGAGGAGTAAAAAAGCGTCATAATTTTAAGTTAATCTAAGTTTACTTGTACTCTTACTACTAAACTATGAGTGTAAAACTTTTTAATTTAATCATATTTTTTCTAAAAAACATTAATTATTTATAAATAATAATACACGTAAATAATTAAATGTTTTATCTTTCTTGTACGGTAAGTAAGCATGTACACCTATTTGCCAACACAAAAACATAATTTATGTAGGAACTTACTAGTACATTCCAATCTAAATTACCGTAATTTATTATCCGTAGATCTACAAGCAGGAATATCTATATATAAACAACTATTTAATTTATTTCTTATGTTTTGGCTGTTTTTTTATAAAAAGAATCATCCCTTGTTTCTTTCTTAGATTAAATTCCATTTCAAAGTAATGTTGGCGATTCTTTTTTTTTGTATTTTATTCTTTCAGCTGGTTGTCTATTAAAATTGTTATACAGTAGAACCTTTTTAATCCAAACTAATTATTGTAACAGGTTCTCCAGATTATCAAGTTTTTGGTTATTGACTTAACATTTTTAAAACAAGCTAACAACTGAAATATTGTATATGTGAATCTATTTAAAACAAGTAACAAATACATAAAAAATATTCAGTATGAGTCTGATAAAAATATATTTTAACTTTATACCAAAAATTAATACACACATAAAAATGATCGAATGAAAAATTTTTCTAATGTGTAAAAGGATGAAAAAGCTGAGATGGTTGTTAACTTTTCAGATTTTTGTTGAAAAATCAAATCCTAAAATATGAATTAAACAGCAAACTGTAATAAAACGAAAATAAAAGAAAAGAAATAGAAAACTACTGAAAAATGTTGCTGTTATTGAGGCAGAAATAGAAAACCAACAAATTTCGGTGGATTTATCTTAACTGAAAAACTCGCGCATATTAACAAATATAAAACCTACGACACCCTTTGACAAAAAAAAGAATGTTAAAAAAATATATTTCTGAAGTAAAGGGTGATTTGGTAATTGTTTATTCTTTGTAAACAATTACCTAAATTTGATGGTGTCATTAAAAAATACCATATACATATAAATTGGTTTTGTTGCCTTTAGTGAATCACACTGTATACTGTATTTAACTCTGATTACTGATTACTATTGAATTATTATGGAGTGCAGGTTTGAACAATAGAGCAGCTATACAAGGGCGGAACCAGGAATTAATTTTGAGGGGGCTAAATTTTTTTAGAATTATGAGGGCGAAAGTGAGCGACAAAATTATAGAATAATCTTATTTATTAAAACTGAAATTATTTTGTTTTGGCCAAAAAGATCGAACAGGTCAATTTTCTTTTTGAAAAATACAAAATTTTCAACTTGATATAAAATCTTTGTTTTTTATTGATATTATTGCACTTTTTGGATGATTTTTTTTTGAAAAACTTTATGTAATACACAATATTTTGGTTCTCATTTCGACAATTAACAAATCTATCGAACTTGCTAAAAAAATTAGGGGTTTCCATTAAAAAAAATGTGGCTACCGTCATTACCCTAAAATCAAAAAATGTAAAATTTTAAATCAAGTTGAAAATTGTGTATTTTTAAAAAGCAAATTGACCTGTTCGAGCATTTTTGTCAAAACAAAATATTTTCAGTTTTCATAAAATTGTTCCATAATTTTGCCGCTCACTGGATGAGATATTCTTGCGAGTTGGTAAAGTTTATTATTCAAACAGATGTGAATTTAATTTAATTAGATACCTAAGATGTGGCCCAAAGAAAATTACAATTGATGATTTCTTTTTAAATTAGTAAAACTAAGTAAGTGTCGGGAGATCAAGATAATTTGTAATCGACTCGTCCTTGTATCCGAAAACGTATGTCCTGTGCGTATATCTGTGAAACTTCAAATAAAATGACAAGTCGAAAGGTAAAATGCCATGATCAAAAAGATGATGATTTTAATAACTAAATTTATGATTTACTTTAAAAAAAGAATGGTCTTATGATTATACGTCGGCGACTAATTCCAGCCCATTTTGCCGTTTTACCTTTCGACTTGTCATTTTATTTGACGTTTTAAGTGCAGTTAGTTCAAAAACAGACATACGTACGTTTTCAGATCCAAAAATGACTAGATTACAAATTATCTTGATCTCTCGGTAGTCGGTATACCTATGTATGATTTGTATATACTTATATTAATAAGTGTGATTTATAAAGAATTTTAATGTTTTTATTTAAACAACTTTAGGTCATAAAGTTTTTATATTAAAATAAATATAAAAAATAAAAGCTTTCGGTGGCAAGTTTGGGGGAGGCCCTGGCCCCCTGGGCCCCTCCCCAGGATCCGCCCTTGGAGCTATAACTTGTTTGGATTATATCAACAGATTTGTATAAAGGAGGAGTCGGATTAAAGAAGCTGTTTCTTGTCAACATAACCAAAATTTGCTCTTTTTTCAAGATTTTTCCTTAAAAAAAAATAATAAAAATATCTGTTTACAAAAATAATGTTTACTGCGGAATTATGTATTTTCTGTCTTGTTTGTTCACATTGTTGTGTGATTAATTTCCATATTGTAAAAAACTTTAATCCGTTGTTGTAGCTCATCAAGTTTTCTGCATTTAAAAATCTCTGTTGTGAAATGTATTATGAATATGTATGTTATGTATACAGGGTGTTAAAAAATATTGTAAAATATCTCAGGTAGAGTAACTCAAAAGTAAAGTAACTCAAAATTTTAAACGACATTAAAAACATACGAGATGTATTTAGATAGTGTACTATAAAAATCTAGATTTAAATTTTACTCTGGAAAATGTCAAGATTTTGCAATAAATTTAACTTTGCGAGAATTTTAATAACAATTATGTTAAATTCAACATTTTTACAAATATTTTTGGTAAAACATTTTTTTAATTAAGCACATAATTGTTAAGACTATCATCGTATGATTTTTAACAAAACTATTATTTTTAATAAATATTTTGTGAAACACTATAATACAATAATTTTGAAATCAAAAGTGAGAGTTATGTTGTTACTAGTCAAATTATGCCAGCTCATGTGCTTCTTTACGATTACGAATAATATTATTATTTAACTCATTCAGTTTATAACAACAAAGGTTCATCGACATTTTTATATTAACAATAAGTTATTGAACTTTCACGCTATCGCAGAAAACAGTTGGACATTTTTAATTTATATTTCGTGAATCACGCAATAATTGCTATGAATATGAATATTGGTTTCAGATTTGTGTAGAGATAATAAAAATATTTGCTGTTCCTGTAATTTACAAAAAATTAAAACTCTAAGAAATACATATTGTAGTTTGTTTTCTTTTAAATTTAGTTTTTTACTTTTATAGATACATAATTTTTGACTATAAAGAGTTTTATTTTGTGAGTTATTTTCAGTTCATAATCTCCACCTATAATTGTAGTCTCCACTCATAATTTCAAGTCTGGACCAATGACCAGACATCTTTTAATCAATAAATAATCAAATATTCAGAAGTTGTCGACACAAACATGCGTAGTAAATCCATAATATTTTAAAAGAGTTCATTCATACTTGTCCCACATTCAAACAAAATATTGTTTATTGATTATTGTATTTTATAATGTATTCAACCTAGAATTTATTTAACTAATAGTACTACAGTACGATCAAAAAGTCCTTCTCCCAAGTAGGCGGACTAGTTGAGGACGTATGTCGCATGGCAGTTCGTATGTTACCTAGAAAATTATTTTAGATAAATTAAAATATTGATTTAAGCAAGTTAAATTATTGTATAAAACCTCTTAAAACATTCTAAAATGAGATGTTAGTGTTTATTCATACAAATCGTGTATTACCGTTTTCTGTCATAATTTACATAAAAATTATGTTGACATTTCTCATTTGTCATTAGGACATTTTATTATCTGCAGATACACATTCTAAATTTCTACGCTTGCTTGATGGAATGTTCTACGCTACAACCCTCTTTTTATGGTTAGATTTTAGCTAATGATTCAATAATGAAACAAAGAGAAAAACCAGTATACTAATATTTTCTTCAGTGTTTTGTTTGTTTTTTTTTACAGAACTGGAATATGATTGATTTCTATGTCTGTCCTCATAATTTGAATAATTGTTTCAAGTAAATAATGGTTTAGCTTAAAAAAACTGCTTTTTGAACTAATAAGCTTATTATATTTAAAAATCGTAATAATTATACTTTATTGTAAAGACTGCGCCAGAACTCGCGTCCCAGAGAAAAAGGTACAGTTAGATACCTAAGAACAAGGAAATAATAATATTTAAAAAATTATAATAATATAAATAATAATATTTAAAAAAAAAGCTATAAAAATTTCGAAGTTATGAGACTTTAAATTTTGCATTTTGACTTTTCTGTTGGAAAAATAATTTTCCAAGTGGTTTTGCTACAGGATATTAGAAGAGGAAACAAAGAAGCTGTATTCTAAATTGTCACTCTTTTTGATGTTATTTGTGGCTTTGTTTTGCAAAATTTTTGTACTTCTACAAAAAACTTAATACAAGATCATTAGTATAAATAGGCATCTTACTTGAATTTTTTCTCTCGAGTTTTGACACACCTGTATAGTTATATTTATTGTAATTAATTACTTTAATATTTTTATCGGGTTTTTAGTCCTTTTATTGTCGTTTCATTTTGCAGAAAATTTTGCAAAAATAGAATTAGAACCCTCCACGATTAGAACATTTTATTATTTTTATACAGGGTACTTGAAATTTTTCTCTGGGGCGCGAGTTCTGGGCACCCTGTATAAACGTAAAATGTGGATTAATTTTTATTTTAAACGAAATCAAAAAAAAAATGGAAAAAAGTTAGTAAAGATGAAAAAAAAACTTGCCTGGTAATCTCATAATTTATTTCGATCACTTTTAGTAAAAATTCTTATCACACGACTTTTCTAAAACTATCTACATAAATAATCTATTGCAATAATTTTCAAAATGTCATCAAATTCATAGAACTTAAATTTCTTAAATACTTATACAAGGGGTCAGAACTCGCTCCCCAGAAAAAAGTTTAAAGTAAGATACTAGGAACATGGAAAAAATGTTTAAAAAATTTTCTGTCTAAAAATTTTGAAATTTTTTTTTCCAACAGTAATAAGTAGTCAAAATCCAAAATTTAAACTCTCATTCATAACTTCAAAATTTTTGTAGATAGAATTTTTAATTTTTTTTTCTATGTTGCTGGTATCTCACCTTAGATGACATTTTTTTCTAGGGAGCGAGCTCTGGCGCACCATAACTCATCAAACCCTCCACAATATGAATTTTGAATTCTTTCAGCTGAAACGAAAAACTGAAATTTAGCTACATTTGTCGTCCAGGAACTCGAAAACCGATACCAAGCAAAAAAAATCAATTTTGCCGATTTACCACTGTTCAAATCGTCAAAACAATCGTGTAAGATCTAGTGTGCGTCGTCATGACAACGACGAAGCGCCTTGGATCCGCTGGCTAGATCGCGTCGTGCAACAATCAACCAGTCAGTTGTGTTTGATCCGAGGCTTCGTGCAGTCGGTCAAAATAAAAACTTTTCGGTTAATTTTTCTTTTGTTTCGACCATTTGGTAATGCGTTCATGTTTCACGTCGTTCGCACCGACAGAAACACGTTACAAGTAAGTACGAGGAAAAAGAAATTTTCCGCCAGAAAAACGCTTGCTTGTTTACTGAAGCTTACAGGTTAGTTTATCGATTCCGAAGAGGGCACGATTTTCACGGAACGATGCGTAATTGTTTATTAATTTTTTGCATCAGACTGCCTAACTTGTTTTCTCATCACCACACCCTCGATTGATTTTTTTTTCGAAAATTTTCCGAAACTTTCACTGTGAAAAAATTCGGCTAAATGGCCAGAATCCATTAACAGAATCCCATCAGAAAAGATAAATGTTGGAGTTAATTGGTCGTTTAAAAACATGTTTCGTTGACGACACATGCGTTTTACAGATGTTGTTTATAAATTCTGCTTCGGTTATACCGGGAATTTACAAAGTGTTACTCGGCTAAAAGTTTTCTTTCCGAAATCTTCTTGTCTTTAGTGTCATTATAAAACGATTATATTCTGTTTTGTAACAAGACGATTTAAAATCGTTCAGTGGTCCATAATTGACGCAATAAAATTCACCTTCATTAGGCTAATTGGAATTTTATGGAAAATTTTTCAAAATTGTTTTTATTAGATCTAAACACGTCCATTTGATTTTAATTATCAACAAGTGTCAAAATTAATTTGTCGATTATGACAAAAAAATTGTCCATTGATCCAGTGTACCTATAAAAATAACCTGTTCAAATCGATACCTGCATAATAAATATAAATTTCATATTTTATGTAGACTTGAGTGTATAAATACATATTTCATATTTTGTAACCAAATGAAATAACCAATTTTATATTATAGCTCTAGTACATATTTTAAATATTGAAGTGACGGTTAACGACACTTTAAATGCAGGAGCACTACTTAATTAATCAAAAATTAAATTCCTAGTTGTTTGAAAAGAAAAGTGCTTATTTCCGTATAAATGACGTTTTCAATGTATAATAATACGAAATGTGCTTGAAATGAGTGTTTTGGAGTTTCTCAGAAATGGGGAAATTATACAAGTATTAGCAATACAATGATTCAAAAACTGAATAAATACATCGAATCAAAATACACATATCGCATGCGTAGATCAAAAATGTTATAACTAATCACTCAAGAAAACACTTTTTTTTAAGAACGTAGAAACACATACCTATGCCACAGATTAACAAGGTTTAAGATTTACTGTTTCCGCTAATTAAATTCAAGAATACATGATCTGAATGGCCAAAAACGTAACCTAAACATCTAACTTTTGAAGAGTTATATTTTGTGAAAAAAGGCACAAACAATTTTTTGTCATGGGAATTTTTAACTCAATTGGATGTTCTTTATCACCACCCAAGATATGGTACGAGATTTTTGAATCACCCTTATAGCTAGAATTATGGGATTTAATTGATTACTCAAACTGTAAAAAGTCAAAAATGGTTCTTTTTAGTTTTTTTGGTAACTACTAAATTATACATTGTATATTTGAAGGCGTGTTGCAGTGTCATAAAAAGTATAGAAACAAGTCGTTTTTTTAAAAATATTTGTCTTTAGAACAAATAATATCAGTAATTAATACACATTAAAGTGCTATAAAACTTGTGATTTGTTTTGAGAATGAAATTGTTTTTTGTTTAATAATACTTTTTTTGCACTAGTATTACTACTAAATAATTTTTTAACGCATTTGTTACTACTATCTTGGAAAAAAAAATCATAGTTGGCCAACGAATTTGAAATTTGGTGTAGCGGTCTAGTTGTTGATTCTAAACAACTTTTGTTAATAACTTTTTGTCATATTTGCCACATAAAAGTCACTTTACTCCACAAAAAGGATTTTTAGAATATCCAAGGCATACTTGGTTTTTCAAAATAATATGCCTATAAGTTAAGACACACTCTATTCTCATATTTTTCTATTTTTAGAAAAAACATTAATTTTCTATTTTGGGAAATATGTTATGTTGGATGTATAGTATACAAGGTTATTGTAAATAATTTTCCATCAAGTTGCTTCTGGTCCACTTGATGGAAATCATTTACACCTTATTGGTGTTTGTTTATAAAGGAAAAGTTGCATTACAGTTCTCGGTGAACAAATTTTCACTTTAATGTTGACATATTGCCAACACTGCATTATCGACTTACTAAAATCTGAGTACGGCGCCAGATAAAAGCCTTTTGACATATTATTTGTTTAGGGAGATTGAAAATAGATTTATACAGGGTGCGCCAGAACTCGCGCCCCAGAGAAAAATGCCATATAAGGTAAGATACCAGGAACATGGAAAAAATGTTAAAAAAATTTTATCTATAAAAATTTCGAAGTTATGAGGGTTTAAAGTTTGCACTTTGACTCTATTTATTTCTGTTGGAAAAATAATTTTCTAAGTTTTTTTGCTATAGGCTATTAAAGAGGAAACAAGGAAGCTGTAACCTAAATTGTAACTCTGTTCAATGTTATTTGTGGCTTTTATTGGCAAAATTTTTGTCTCTTTACTAAATAATTGTAAAAAACATATACAATATCATCAGTATCATTATATAGCTATAAAACAATGTCAAACGTCAAAAAATATATGTCAAAATTTTTTGACAGATAGAATTTTTTAAACATTTTTTTCATGTTCCTGGTATCTTATCTTACTTGAAAATGTTCTTTGGGGCGCGAGTTCTGGCCCACCCTGTATAGGGAAAAAAATTAGGCAGAATGTATTGACATTGTACCGTGCGATCAAATAAAAAATAAATTAGAGTAGGCGTCGATTAAATTCTACAGTTGGCTACATATTGGCTGGGAATCTGGGTTGGAAATTTTTCACACGAACTGAATGTGAAAATGACCATCCACCGTTTTCCTCTTGTACAGCAATAAAAAATTTCTGCTCTAAAGTGAACATTATTTTTGAGTGAAATAATGTCAAAGTTTCCGCTGACATTTGATGTCAAAAATCAGGATTGCCATCTGAAGGTCTTTAATCACCGCCTACTCTAATTTATTTTTTTTTTTGATCGCACGGTATTTTTGTATAAAGTGTTGCAATTGAGAAAAAAAGACTGCATTCCAGATTTTATGAATGCAATTGGGCGATAAACATTTATTTTAGCAAATGTATAATTTTCTAGTAAAACTTCCAACGAAATTTTGCTTGTCATTACTTTTATAAAAACATGTTTAATTTTCAAAGCAATTAAGATAATTTATATGAAAAGGAAATAATTATAGCAGACCGAAATTACCCTATTTCAAATACGAGTTGTGTAATTGGGACAACTTTAGATAATTAAAATTAATTTCAAAGTACGAACACCACACCAAAATTGAGAGACTAGTGGGATTGATCAAATCTTTTAATCCAAGCCTAACCTCACTTTACTTTGACTTTTATCATAAAAAAATATGATAATATGTAAACAAGTTATGTTATAATCACTTGTAAATACGTAAACCTATGAATTTTAACACGAAAAACTAACTAATACGCTTTGTTTGGAAGGCAAACCTGGACCTACCACACGCTTCTATGTGACACTTGCAGAGTCAAATTTATTATTTAATTTAACTTTTTTGTAAAAAGACATTTGTGAAGAAAAGGAACGTTTCAATTTTCGCTTGGCAATTTTATTTTGAACTAACTTTCCTATTAGTATTCTTTTTTTATCTTTTCCATCATTGTTTGAAGGCAAGCCTGTAAAATGATATTGAATAATTACGGCTCTACTTTGTAATTCCTAAACAATCTATTGTCCCAATCTGGATTTAAAAACTTTGAAAACATTTACCAACGAATGTTAAGCATCTCGCGTCTCGTTTACTTTTCATTTACATTTTTAATACTCCGAGCTAATAATAACATTGCAAGAGAATGAAGATCTCGTTTGAAACTTTCGAATAATTTTAATTAAAGTTGAAATTCCCTTGAAAAGTTCATCATGATAATGCACGGGGGCAAAACCAAACCGTTTGACTAGGAAATCTCCATTTAGTCAAATGCCAACTTGACTCTAAGGAATTGCAACTTGGGGTTTTCCCACAGTCCAACATGCTCTACGCATTTGTCCAATTAAGGTTGCTCTATTTTCCCACAGAGTCATCAGTTTCTAGATTCATTGTGCCAAAATAGTATATTATATCACAAGGTAGAGAAGAGATTTTCATATATAAATGCGAGGGTATAAAAATTGTTTCTACCGTGTTTTATATAAAATTTGTTTCACTACTAGCACATTTATTACCCATAAATACAACGGTGAAAAATATAACCCTACTTTATGGACATGTTGCCTCAGACGTAATATGTCGTAATTCACAACTACAATTTTTGTGTATTCACTATTACTTACAGTAATTAATTATTTACTTAGTTATTAACTTAAGTTGGAAGTATTAATTTCTTTTTATCATAAATGAGGTTATGTCATTTTTGTACTTCTTCAACTTTTAAAGGAATTTTCTAATTTCATAATATGAAATATTTGTTAAAATAACTGCAAAGAAAAGGGAAAAAGTGTTATAATTTGTCTCACTACCTATACTATTTTAACAAGAAATAAATCCATTTGTCGTTTAGACGGTTTTGACATAGAGAGAAGGATTAGAGTTGGGGTTATTCTGATGTTTTTAATGAAGAAATTAAAGTCTTTTTTATTTGATTTTCCATTAATTTTATCTCGAAATATTTCCGTGAGTACTTGTGATGGTAATAGTTTTCAATAACACAGGGCGACAAAAAAAAGTCATGTCGTGACAACTTGACAAATTTTATTTCATTTTGTTCGTCTCAGTGAGACAAATCAAATGCACTAAAAAAAAATTTCAAAAAGTCCACACACTTTGAACTAATTAATTTTTTTCTAATTTAAATGAATTTAAAATACTTTAACTTTAAAAAATCATTACTCAATAACTATTAGGCCGATTTCCTTCAAATAAAGACCATTCTAAAGGGATGGACTTGCCTTTTAGAATGATATGTAATTTGAAATTGAATATTGGCAAACTTTTCTTCGAGCAGTGTTCGAAGAAGTTCGAAGTA